GTTGGGCTTCACCTTGGTGTTCAGGAGCGTGGCTGTCTTGACAAGCTCGTCCTTGAGCCTGGGCAATCCTCCTCTGGGCCCAAGCAATGAACGAAGCTGCATCGTGCGATCGGCGTCGCTGAGCTGGAGGAGTCGCTGAGTTTCCATCACCAGTGCCTCTTGCATCTTGCGTCTTGGCTTCTTCTTCAATGCCTGGATGCCGAAGAGGATGGCGTCGTCCTCCATGAAGCTCAACTCGAGGCCCATCCTGTCTCGCAGGTGCATCGAATCCTTCAAATGAAACAACGTAAACTTCTCTCCCTGTCTCATAAGGGAATGAGCCCACTTTCTCGGCCACGATCGCCTTTTGCACATTTCGGCCGTCTGATGCTCCCACTCGGCTGGAGTCGAGACTGATGGAAGCGGAGGTGGAAGTCCTCTCAGGTATGGGCGCTGGATCATCCAGAGCAAAATGCCCTGCCAATGCCAGCGATTCCTCGCCAGCAGCCTCATCAGCATCCGGCCCCAGCGCACTGGAGCTCGATCCTTCGGCTGCCAGCAGCATACCGGCGCACCGTGCTCCATGCCAAGGATGAAGATCTTCGGCTGCTTCTTGCTCCAAAAACACTGCCGGAACAAAGTGCTCAGTGACATTCACTTCAGAGGCTGGAGTTGAAACTGACTTGTGAAGACGCTTCAAAATCCATTGTTCTTTGCTAGCAATTTGAATCTCACAACATGCATCTCTTCCGATGGGGATCCAGGGCAAAGAACTCAACTCAGGCCACTGATGCAAAGGGGTTGGTAAACAAGGCACGGCAAAATGACCAGCTTTCAACTTGTGAAGACGAACCCAATGATCATCTGCAAGCAACTGAAATTTGACCCGGTTGTGCAAAAAGTCGATGACGGCACCGAGGGAGTCCAAAAAGTCCTTACCCACCAGTAGACCCAAACTGCTACAAAGATGGGCCCCCCCTAGTTGGAGAACTTGTAAAGTGCCGTAACATATGTTATAACATGGGTTAACTGATGTTGTAAGCTGGTCTAAGATTGTGAAGTGTTCTAAGTTCTTGGTGGTATTTACGTTGCAGTTACAAATTACTTTCGATATATATAAGTAAGTTATCCTAGTTTATGTTGGAGGGTGCTAAATTAGTGCTAAATCACTTACAACTTACTTAGGGAACTTAGGTTTTTGCATTGAAAAAACTATGTTTTTTGTGGACGGGTTTGCAGAGAAGCGTTTTTCAATGTTTTTTTGGTGTACTCTTCTTTTTTGTGTAGAACTGAGACTGATTAGCAAATCTTTGTATTTTGTGTTGTTTTGGAAACATTTTTTCTGTTTTTATGGGCGCGATTGTTTTTTATGTTTTAGTCGTGAAAAATTTGTGGGGTGGTGGTCCACCCGTACGACAGAGTAGTACTTTGCACACAGAAACACGTAAATATGCAACACGCACACGTAGTAGAATATAGTGTAACGAATCCATTATGTAGGCCATGGAACAACTAGAAGCCATTAAGCTGGATCACGCCCCAAAATTGAGGAGTAGATCCTTGCCTGTCCGTGACGCATCACAAGATGCACACACACACAGTCCCTCAAAAGATCTGATGTAACCTGATGAACAAGAGGCTATATGTACAGTAGATGTACGGGAATGTACGGTAATGTACGGTAGATGTACGGTAGATGTACGGCAGATCTACCGTACATCTACCGTACATCTACCGTACATTACCGTACAT